GTGGGCAATTATTTTCCTTGTTGCATGCTCATGTAGCCCATGCATGTACTTCGCTGTGAAATCAATCGGAACACATTGTTGGTAAATTGCATATCTCGAATAAATATTGTTGAGTTGATACGAACTGATGTTTATCCAAATAAATTGCGTAAAGGGAAGTAACTCGTTTGCGTTGTCACTTGGTGAAACTTTGGACATTCATTTGAAGTAACTCGTTTGCGTTGTCACTTGGTGAAACTTTGGACATTCATTTTGGGTCCGTATAAATGAATGTCGGTGAGATGAATTTGTTGTCAAGCCATCTCTCACATACGTCATATAGTGTGATGTGCCATGTGTGTGAGCCTATGTCTACGTCACACACGGTGATGTCATCCAATTATTAAGACAGTGATGTCATCCAATTGTCAAGAAGTCCCATGAAGATCTGGGGTAGAATAGGTCTTCAGCAACCCATACTTGTCGTAAAAGGCGACTAACGGGATCGGGGGTCAGGCACCCTGACTTGGTTGATGCATGTCATATCCCAATCGCTTGGATTGATGCTCATGATGTCAATCACTGGATTGTCCTGTCCAGACTCGACTATTTACAGACCGCCATCTTATAGCTGGAATATTACTGACTGCGGCATAAAACAACAAACAAACATAGAAAGAACAATTGTCAAAACAATGATGCCATCCAATTATATAAACAGTGATGTCATCCAAATGTTAAGACAGTGATGCTATTAATTTCTCAAGACTATGATGTCATCTAATTGTCTAGACCGTGATGTCATCCAATTGTCAGAACAACAACATAATCCAATTGTCAACCAATATAATTGTATTGCCAAGACAGTGATGTTATTCATTTGTCAAGTCTGGCCATCGATGTCATCCCTCGCTACATGGACGCTGCATGCTCCTGATGTGATCGCAACAGATGAAAGCAGGCCTGGCATCCAGGAAACATTATTTGCTGTATAAATAGTAGCTGATCAAAGATTACCTTGATCTCCGTGAGGAACAGGCTCCGGACCCCAGGGTATCCTAAGGTTGGACGTAATGCTGACAATTGAGATTGATGACTGGCCTATCATCAGTTCTTTCATCAACATTACTCCATCCCATTGCAATCCTCTAAACCCTTAAAAAAGAGCTTATTGCCAGTTTGTATTAGTGGAGAAAATTACGTTGTGTAGTTTCAAAACAAATTTCTGGTTGTACAGTTTATTTTAGGACGAATTGTATGCTGCTACCTTGAGTCAACATCCAAAAGATTTACTGATGAAGCTGTATAGAATCCCGGACCTGATCACGGAAACCTTATTGAAGGAGCTGATGGCAATGGTATTCATTTTGTGATTTTCCCCACGAATATAAAACGATATTGTTAATACTGAAAAGGAAGATGCTTGGCCATGGCTTCACTCATCCTGTAATAAATGGCGTTGCCTAAATGATGAATTTTCCATCAAATCCCAGGCTTGTAATATTCATCATTCATTTTCCTTAGTACTAGGTGGAACATCGTCATGACCACACATCTCTCCTCCCCATCTGGAGTCCCTGCATGCCTTCAGCAGTCAGGAGGATTCAAACATATCGCTAATATCCCAGCCTTGCTCCAAGTCTGCAATGAAAGAAAAGTCAATGCATGTGTAGTAATTCTATGTTCCTAATAGGCAAGTCTGATATGCGGAAGGACTCCTGTCTCTTATAGGGACAACTTGTTTTTGTTATTTACATAATGTAGAAGTTATGAATTAGACTTATAATTATTGCCTTAGAGACTTGTGCAAGTCTACTGATATCCTTCCCTTCCACATATAAAGCCACAGCCCTTGTTTTTGTCAAGCCAGCCATGGGTTGATGTTTTATAAGGTTCCGAGAACAAGGGGTGTTCCATTATAATGAATTCATCTTGAAGCGTATGACATACAAGGCAATTATTTGGGGGTTGTCAGTTTCTTCTGTGGGTCCCTATCTGAGGCACGGGCTGAGACACAGACAGATGTGTTATATGGTGACATCCTCCTGTGTCAGGGTCAGCTGCAACCCATGAAGATACACATCGGGTAGAATAGGTCTATGTACAGGGGAACACCCACAGGGTACGTCCATTGTCACATACAGTGATGTCATCCAATTGTCAAGACGTCCTGTGAAGATGGGTAGAATAGGTCTATGTACAGGGGAACACCCACAGGGTACGTCCATTGTCACATACAGTGATGTCATCCAATTGTCAAGACGTCCTGTGAAGATCCGGGGTAGAATAGGTCTTCAGCAACCCATGCTTGCCAAAAATGGCGACTATGCTTGTTGTAAGAGGCCACTATCGGGGTCAGGCTCGCTGACCTGGTTGATGCATGTCATCATATTCGAAATGTGTGGATCGATGCTCATGATGTCAATCACTGGATTGTCTGATCCAGATTTGATTATTTACAGACCGCCGTCATATAGCTTGAATATTGCTGAGTGTGGCGTTAAACAACAAACAAACAAACAAAATCTTCCAGCAGCTGTTCACTGAACCTGCGCAGGCATTAGCTGGGAAAAAGGAAATGTGTTTCACAGAGAGATTTTTGGTTTGTTATTGATGGGTTTATTGAAATCCTGAAACTCTGAGACACTTAACTTATGTCTTTAACCTTGTCTGAAAGAAAGAAGACCAAATTGCCATGGTAAACAATAATTTCAGTGGCCTCAGGTCCCAACAAGGGTGTGTCTGCAGGGGTTGCATGTGTAGGGGCGGTGGGTTAGCCCAGTGGTTAAAGCGTTGGCTTGTCGCTGAAGACTTGGGTTCGATTCTTCAAATGAGAACAATGTGTGAAGCCCATTTTGTGGTGTGTCCCGCTCTTATATTGCTCACTCACTCACTCACTCACTCACTCCATAGGTCTATCTCGTGGCAAGTCCAAGAGACTTCAGTACATAACAAATGAGGATTCGGAGTTAAGGTCCCCACCAACCCAGCTGTGCTGACCAGCAATTGACCAGACTCGGTGACTTAGTTTATAGCTGCCATTGTACCCTGACAACATGGATCGTTGTTCACAATATCAATCACTGGATTGTCTGGTCCAGACTCGATTATCTACAGGCTGCAGCACCCAGAATTTTGAGTGAATTTCTTCTTGAATTTCCACAGGACTTTCAATGTACATTATTTGTTTCCTTCTTCAGTTTGTATGTGTACAAGACAAAGTGGGATCAGCTAGGGCTGGCTGTCAATATAGGTCATAGAGATCAATAATCGCTAACTAAACAATGATCAATTTTCGATAAATATCAGAGAAGGTAGAAAATATACAAGAAAGTCCCGAAAGCAATGAGCAGATATCACGCCACTGGTGAGCAGTGACACATTTATGCATGGTTTACTTTGTGGACATTGGAGACATAACAAAAAACTGTTTCTTTCTGTCTTTGACCATTGACATTACTGACAATGACAAGACTGTTTTGGTAAATCTAAACTTTATTTTATCACAATAGTTTATATGAGTTATTGATGACAACAGTTTCATATCGATAATCGTTATATTTCTTCCCATCGATGATAATTCTGATTATCAATCTTTTTAGCCAACTCTAGGATCAGTTGGTTGCAGTATGAGACCTGGCTTAGGGTGAATCAACATGTTCATGCTATCAACCACTGGTTTGCCTGGCCAAGACTTGATTATATATTGGCTGTTGGGATACAGCTGGAATATTGCTGACTGACACAAATGACTTAAGAATAAAGCATCTTGAATTTATCCCTGAGGAACTACAGCTACCACATTAAAGTTTGTATCTTCAAATTAGGAGTTCGGATCCCAGTTTGCCCCAGTTATGTTTGTTGGTTTGTCAGCACCATACCCATGCTCGTGGGTTTCACCAAACTGGTAAACATCTGAGACCTGCATCACTTCGGGCTTTCGTTTTTCCTCTGTGCACCAATATACTTATGTTGACATTCAATACTTGCCATACAGACAGGTTGAAGATTATTCTGTGCATAATAAATCCAGAGTTCTGCCCCTTGATACACAAACTTGGCCAAAAACTTTCCAAAGACTTCTGAGAAAAGCGAAAATTTCACACATTTTAAAATTCGAAAGTCAAAGGTATGTAGATTGAGGCTGATGACTCGTCCCCCCTCCCCCCCTTAACTGCTGAGTGTTTTAGGTAGAAAACATTTGTGATCCAAGAAGTAAAAAAAACCCTGGCCAGTTGGTCCCTGCATGTGTAGTGGCCAGGGTATGTGTCTAGGGGGATAGCTAGGCAAAATAAGAATGTAAGCAATCATATTACACTACTTATTTTTCTTAAACACTCATCAAACACAAACACAACAGGCCAGTACAACATATCTAAAACAGATATCACAAAGTATCCTTACCACGTTCTGTGCATTACACATTTTAAGTATAAAGCACTTTAATCATTGTGATCAGATATCCTCAAGAAATATAAATTGTCAATGCAAGACCCCGTTATAGATTATTCACCAAAACCGATTCCATTTGGCATAAAGGGCAAAATAGCTGTGAAAATTATAAGAATGGACCACTGAAAATAAGTTGACAAAGATTGTTCTCGAAAAGGGGAAAGGAAATGTAACAACAACAACATCGAACAAACTCATCAACGACAATTTTGACACTGGTCGGGGGGGTCAACCTGTAAATTAACAAAAGATCATGTAACTATAACAACCGCCTGAAAGAAGAACATAGTAATTATTTCAAAGTGTAAGCACTTGCATCTTTGTTGAGTGGTAGCTATGCCACTGGTGTCAACAGTCAGGCCGACACTGCAGACGGTTGAAGAAGGCCGGAGTACTACTGCCTGCCATCCCTCACTCCGACAGTGGGGATTATGGGGATTAAATGGATTAAGGCTGGGCGTGTATGGGGTTAATCAAATTGTAATGAATAGGGACGGAGCACATTGTGCTGATGACACACAAAGGGTTAATTGTGATGCAAGGAATGATGAGATCTGTTCTTTTTTCAGACTGGGGGGAAACTTCAACAACAGGACTGAGGCCAAAGCTGTAGATTACAGCAACTCCTGAAACCTTGGCGGTAAGTGACACCGTGGTAACCACGCACATGTTGGACACAAGTTATGGATAACAACTTCTTTAATACTGCAAAGGCAACGTTTTGGTGTAGATCCTTATACCTTATAGTGTTGTCAAGCAAGACTGGGTACAATTGGTAAACTGTTTTATGTCTGGTGGCTAACACTATTGCAACAGTTCCTAAATGTGGCTAACAGTACGGCAACACTGTTTTTCATTGTGGCTAACACTATTGCAACAGTTCCTAAATGTGGCAAACAATATTGCAGCACTGTATCTAAATGTGGTTAACCATATTGCAACACTGTTTCTAATTCACCACCATTTTTAGACTGATATTCCCCGTCACCACAATTTTTAGACTAATATTCCCCATCACCACCAGCTTTAGACTAATATTCCCCATCACCACCAGCTTTAGACTAATATTCCCCATCACCACCAGCTTTAGACTGATATTCCCCATCACCACCAGCTTTAGACTAATATTCCCCATCACCACCAGCTTTAGACTGATATTCCCCATCACCACCAGCTTTTAGACTGATATTCCCCATCACCACCAGCTTTAGACTGATATTCCCCATCACCACCAGCTTTAGACTGATATTCCCCGTCACCACAATTTTTAGACTGATATTCCCCATCACCACCAGCTTTAGACTGATATTCCCCATTACCACCAGCTTAAGACTGATATTCCCCATCACCACCAGCTTAAGACTGATATTCCCTGTCACCACCAGCTTTAGACTGATATTCCCCGTCAACACCAGTTTTGGACTGATATACCTTATTATATATATATAAACGGGCTCCGTCCATCTGTCCGTCCGTCCGTACTTCCGTCCGTCCATCCATCTGTCACGTTTCGTTTCCTGAGCATAACTCAGAAACCGTTAAATATTTTTTCAGGAAACTTTACATGTTTGTTTTTTCACTTTATCATATCACATGGTATGACCATATTGTTAAAAAGCCACAACATAAAATGTGTGTGGCACTGGTGGCAGCCTACTTCCTCGCAGTGAGTGCCGGTAATGACCATAGTCACATATCACAAACTAATACCATTTATGTTTCTTAACAAATATTCCATGTAGATATTATAATGAGTCAAAATGTGACTTGTAATGTTTTTTCTTTCTCCCACCCTAATGAATTCAGTAGTAAATGTAGTAACTGGTTTTGTCAGTTTGTACTTCTATCATGTTTTTGTGGAGAAGTTTTCAATTTTTTCTTGAACTTCATAGAAATTGTGATTTGCAGCATTTTATTTTGTCTCTTCAGGATATTTTGCATCAAGTAGATGCTCCCCTGCTCCCTCTTACTCCTTACAAAATTTTGAATATTTTCAAATGTATGTGTTTGTGTGATCAAATTTCACTATTGTTGACATAATATACACTTCATTTGCTGGGCAGGAGACTTGGCCACTTTTGTGGCAAACTCTTCTTTTTTTTACAATTTCCATGACAACAAGTTCCACCTCGGTTAAAAAAGGTTAGGGTTTGTTTAGATTTAATTATGTCATAATTTCTGCAACAGGGGTGGGGGGTATAGCCCCGTTAATGGCAAACTCTTGTTACCACCAGTTTCAGACTGGCACTAAAGTGGTTGTACAGTACAACCACTGTATGGTACAATCACTGTATGGTACAACCACTGTATGGTACAATCACTGTATGGTACAACCACTGTATGGTACAACCACTGTATGGTACAACCACTGTATGGTACAATCACCTTTTGGTACAACCACTGTATGGTACAATCACCTTTTGGTACAACCACTGTACGGTACAATCACTTTATTGTACAACCACTGTATGGTACAATCACTTTATCGTACAACCACTGTATAATATGAAGCAATGTTAAGAGTGTATTTACTAAATACCATTTATCGTTGTAACAGAAGGCTTCAGGTTGATGGAGGTGAGGGGGCAGGTATTTAATCCTCGTTGACACAGAGCACAGATGATACAATACCGATACAGCGGAATGACCTTCCCTTGCCCTACATACCACATCCCTCTCCCAGCCATCACGTTGGTCCATACGATTAATGACATTCTTCTGACAATTGTCATATATATCTGTACAAAGCATTGTCCTCAACTAAGACAACAGTGTGTAACATTCATGTAAATTGATGGTTCCTGGAACGACTCGACAGTAGTTCAGGGACTTAATGACTTGAAGCTTGTTCCAATAACTCACCCAAGTCACTTTGAGATTGTTGGTAGGGGGGGTAGTCCTATCTATTATCTCTTGAATATGAAAAATTCTTCAAAAATGAACCAACATGTATGGTATTCGCATTCTTTTGTTTCTATAGTTCATTAAGCAGAAAACTCAAATGATGTCCCCGGGATGAGTACTGTCCAGATTCACCTGCTTACCTTCACACATAGGAAGTAGACATCTAAAGCTTGCCTACTGGACAAGAAAACTGTCCAAATTTTGTCAAGGGTGAAAAAACTACATGTCCAGGTTTTTAGGGCTAGTCGTCTTCGGAGTACTAATTGCCCTATTTTGGAAGGATCAGCTTTACCAGTACAAACTGACAGGTATCAGTGACGATCACAGGTACGCCCGGTGACATGCACACCAATCAACCAATCAGTGGCCGGGTCATAAGTCTGTGCTGGCACTGACTCTGAGCGTCACTCGTAATGTTTGGCTTGAAGGAAACAGACGTCTGAAGTTGAACTCACAATCTTTACATATTTGATTTTAGTCTACATGTCCTACTGTCTTATGTCGGTGGAGTCAGGCATTGTATTTCTGTGGCATAAAGTACTCACATTCTGACAGGGGTCTCTCCATACTCACATTCTGACAGAGATCTCTCCGTACTCACATTCTGACAGGGATCTCTCCATACTCACATTCTGACAGAGATCTCTCCGTACTCACATTCTGACAGGGATCTCTCCGTACTCACATTCTGACAGAGATCTCTCCGTACTCACATACTGACAATGATCTCTCCATACTCACATTCTGACAGGGGTCTCTCCATACTCACATTCTGACAGCAATCTCTCCATACACACATTCTGACAGCAATCTCTCCGTACTCACATTCTGACAGCAATCTCTCCATATGCACGTTCTGACAGCAATCTCTCCATATGCACGTTCTGACAGCAATCTCTCCATACTCACATTCTGACAGCAATCTCTCCATACACATGTTCTGACAGCAATCTCTCCATACACACATTCTGACAGCAATCTCTCCATACACACATTCTGACAGCAATCTCTCCGTACTCACATTCTGACAGCAATCTCTCCATATACACATTCTGACAGAGATCTCTCCATACACACGTTCTGACAGCAATCTCTCCATACACACGTTCTGACAGCAATCTCTCCATATGCACGTTCTGACAGCAATCTCTCCATATGCACGTTCTGACAGCAATCTCTCCATACTCACATTCTGACAGCAATCTCTCCATATGCACGTTCTGACAGCAATCTCTCCATACACACATTCTGACAGAGATCTCTCCGTACTCACATTCTGACAGCAATCTCTCCGTACTCACATTCTGACAGCAATCTCTCCATATGCACATTCTGACAGCAATCTCTCCATATGCACGTTCTGACAGCAATCTCTCCATACTCACATTCTGACAGCAATCTCTCCATATGCACGTTCTGACAGCAATCTCTCCATACACACATTCTGACTGCAATCTCTCCATACACACATTCTGACAGCAATCTCTCCATACACACATTCTGACAGCAATCTCTCCATACACACATTTTGACAGCAATCTCTCCATACACACATTCTGACAGCAATCTCTCCATATGCATGTTCTGACAGCAATCTCTCCATACACACGTTCTGACAGCAATCTCTCCATACACACATTCTGACAGCAATCTCTCCATACACACGTTCTGACAGCAATCTCTCCATACTCACATTCTGACAGCAATCTCTCGATACTCACATTCTGACAGCAATCTCTCCATACACACATTCTGACAGCAATCTCTCCATACTCACATTCTGACAGCAATCTCTCCATATGCACGTTCTGACAGCAATCTCTCCATACACACATTCTGACAGCAATCTCTCCATACACACATTCTGACAGCAATCTCTCCATACACACATTCTGACAGCAATCTCTCCATATGCACGTTCTGACAGCAATCTCTCCATACACACGTTCTGACAACAATCTCTCCATACACACATTCTGACAGCAATCTCTCCATACACACATTCTGACAGCAATCTCTCCATACTCACATTCTGACAGCAATCTCTCCATACACACATTCTGACAGCAATCTCTCCATACTCACATTCTGACAGCAATCTCTCCATACTCACATTCTGACAGTAATCTCTTAATACACACATTCTGACCGCAATCTCTCCATACACACATTCTTACAATTCAGGAGTTTCTTACAATGATATGGAAGGGCAGACATACCATCGATTCGATATATTTGATTTCCAAAATAAATGCAAACTGACAATGGTAGCAGCCCATTCATCAAAGATCCATTAGCTGTGCAGAGTTGTAGCCCTTAGATGTGGGAGAATCCAGTGATCATAGGTTCAAATCCCAGATTCACCCTGGTTTGGTTGTCACCACTATACCCATGCTCAGGGATGTGAACAAGGTTGTAAATGTCTCACTCACTCACTCTAGGGGGCACAGGTGGCCCAGTCGTCTAAGGCGCCGCGATTCGCTGTGCAGAGTTGCTTCCTTTGGGCACGCCACAAACCTATGATTGTGGGTTCGATTGCCGGTTCGCCCCGATTATGTTTCTAGGTTTGTCAGCACCATACCCGTGCTCGTGGGTTTCACTGAAGTGGTAAATGTATGAGACCTGCATCACTTTGGGCTTTCCTCCCACATTAAGCTGACACGCCGTGATATAACTGGAATACAGTCGTGCCTCGTTTATACGGACACTTGCGTCATTTCACAATTCGTCCGTATA